CTTTTTTTTGTTCTTTTTCCTTCCAATTTTACCCTTTCCTTTCCTTTTTAGGTTCTTGTGGCATTTTTTCAAATTATTCAAATAATGTTGAAGCTATAACACTAATAATTTACTGGCCTGTCTCCCATTTAACAAAAGGTAAGCATTTATTTTTTCCGGGTTTTTTTACTGTTTCCTTCCAATTTTACCATTTCCCTTCCTTTCTAGGTTCTGGTGGCATATTTTCAAATTATTCAAATGATGTCGAAGCTAAAACACTAATAATCTAAAGGTATATAATAGATTAGTATTAAATGCAGCAACATGTCTTCTTTTTTTTGATAATGCGAGTCTTTGCTTTTTACAGAACTGAATCAGCTATCCTAGTTCTTTTTTGCATACATTTTCGTCCTCGTCCACCGTAACTGTAACCTGTTTAATGCACCAACGAATGCCAAACAACAGCAAAGTTGTTCTACTTTCACAAGACAAAGGAAAAATTCATACCTTCCCGGTACAGTAGCTATATATTACTAAGCAATATATGTTTATATCAGTGATGATTGATGTCATTCAATGTTAACTCGTTGTCATACTGACATGATCAATGGAACTTACAAACAAGCCACATAGTCTTATTCGAACTTCAAACTGGTGCTATCTCTAGCTAATTCATACTGATAAATTATCGGTAATCAACATTGCAAACCACCTGTACCTTCCTGCTGGATCTCATACTGATTAAATCATACTGTCATCTCCAGCGATTATGGTGATAAACGTAAAGTCAAAAACTTTGGCAAACAAGCCTTATAATCGTACAGGAACAATAAGATCTGATATGCTAGCTAATAAATAATCAAGGGACATAAAAAAGAAATACTTTGAAACGTTTAAAAACCTCTCTCTCCTTCCTAAGAAAGCTTTATGTTATCAGAAGATTTGTACCACCACTCTGGAACCTTACTCTCTTTCTTGTTTTGTCCATCTATTCTGTTTTTAAAAACCATGCATTTCCTATCTTTTGTAGATATGCTTGTATATATGTTATTATTCTGTCGTTAAAAATGTATTTAAATAAATACAATAAAAAATTTAAATACTGCTATTTAGCGAATTGATACAATGGAAAAATTTATAAAATGAGACAAAATCGTCTTTCTAGGTAACTTTAATCAATATACTCTCACACACATTTGATAAATAATAAATTATATAATTATACACCAAAAATAGAAGATTAATATTATTCATTAATGTTTAATGTATCATCCACAATTTGTCAATTTAGTAATTAGTAATCTGTGTCCTTATAAAATTTGTTGCTGCATGCATATGCTTGTGCAGGCAAGATGAGGCTCAGTCTACTATACATCATTATCTGAAAAACTGCCAATTTGTATTACAAATAGACAACCTTAATAAACAATTTTCCATCCTTTGCAAATGCATGAACAAATTCGATTGTTTAGTTTATGAGATGCTATTAATCAAACAATATAAGCCTAACCTCAATGGACAATCGGACTCGATAAAATCAAAACTGTTCTAAGTCATCAGTTTTTACTTACTACATGTAATTATTGTAATATATTCCATTTTTATCTTTAGACTATTTAAACTAGTGTAGTATATTTAACCTTTATTCTTGATAATGATGTTAAGATGACATCGAAACGTCAAATCAATTTTTTATCGCTAATTTTTATTATTAAACACTTATATTAACCAGTGATATTAATTTAATGCCCTTACCATATGAGTTAAACAATAAGTACTTCACATCTAGATCGCTAATATTAATATTTAGTATGAACTTAATATATCTTCTAAACAATGTCAATGTGTTCAACAAGATTAGACCACATGATATTACCATATTTCACTAAAGATATACAAAGCATTTGCATAAACAAATGATATATTCCCGAGTCAGTGACCTTAGCGTATATGCAAATTTATTTTAAAGAAACTCACCTCACAGGTTTTCAAAAAATTGCAGATTCGCAGCAAGATGTCATCGGTTGATTGGATATGACGCAGCCTTTCTTTAATGATAAATCCATTGCATTCTTGTCGCAAAAGCAATAATTCCCCTGAAATACTTTAGCTTCTTCCTTGTTGAAAAATTTCAATGAACTTCCGAAGAACATCAACAGTAAAAGCTTCCATTTCGATAGCATTCGATTCTGATTTTAGCAAACTGACCAGTGTAGCTTATAGCATGTGCTGTGTAGACTAGCACCTGTATCGATTGAGTCAACAAGTGCCGAATTTTATTCTCGATAATTTGCATTGTGCAATCAAAATTGTCTGAACCTATACATCATTTAACTTGTGTCACCAAAATTCAACTCAGTATAGTCTACTTGAAGTCTATTGGACTCTTCTTAACTATGACGGGTGATCACCGCCAAAATTCGACAATGGCATTCGGCAACGCAAACACGGCATTCGGCAACGCGAACACGGCATTCGGCAACGCGAACATGGCATTCGGCAACGCGAACACGGCATTCGGCAACGCGAACATGGCATTCGGCAACGCGAACATGACATTCGAAATTAGCCATACGAACACGCAACTATAAGTACAGCGGAGTATCGCAAAAGGAATAATACGAACACACGATCTATTTGATCAGCGGTTAAAACAGTTTCCTCACTATACTTTATGTAATATTGTATATTAGCAATAGCAACATGGCGGCCGATGAATCAAAAAAACAACTTGAAGCCGCAAGGTTAATGAGAGAAGCTGCTAAATTGCTAGAATTCGAAAGTTCAGAAGTTGACAAGAAAGTAGAAACTGCAAAAGTTTCTACCACGGAAGAACTGAGGAAGCTCTTTGCGCCTTACTCTGCTGAAAAGAAAAATCCTCGTCAAACTGTTCAAAACCCAAAGCCAGCCAAACGTCAACGTTCCAGCGGCTGGTTTCCAATGTTCAACCCATCTCCAACTTGGACCCACCGTTTTTGTCTTTTAGCCGATAAAAACGCGTCTGTTGCTCCAACAGTGGCGGAGAAAGAAAAGTTGAAAGCTGCTGGGTTAGGGGAGCAAAAAATAACTTTTGAAAACAAAAAAGGAAATCACCAGTTCCTCACGGAAATTCTCGAAGAGAAATTCCCATTATTAAAGACAACTGGAGGCTATCTACTATGTCGAACAGCTGGAGGCCAACAACTTCAAGTCATACCCCCAGGAAAAAATGGTTATTCCATTCCCTACTTGCGTGACGAGTCGTCATTAAGGCAAGCAGTGGCCTATATTCGGCCACTTCAACTGTCTATTGATATAACTAGCTCTCAAATAGAAATACAGGTAAATGAATGTTTCCGCCATCCCCATCCCCAGGGAAACTTGCCAAACTACCCGAGTGAATAGGGGATTTGCATAGTTTAGCAAGATCATGGTAATATTGTTATGTTTTGTGCACAAAAATATTTCTCTTTGATCCCAGTCCCTAATTAGTAATTAATCCTATTTGGCTCCTCCCTAACCTTAACTTTCATGTGCAAAATAACAATATAACCAAGATCACAGTGACATCAAGGGGATACTTGTGTACATCTGGGAACAATGCTTCCTAATTAAACAATGTAATGTGATGCTTTGAAAATTTTATAAATTTTGTAAATTTCATTGCAAAAAATAGTGTGGGGTTTGTAGGGGTTTACAGTTTAAATTAAACACCGGTCTCATGTAGTGGGGCATTTTTGCATTTTTTCTTACCAAGATTCTTATGTCTAATTCCATGTTTCCCCAGGGAGGGTAGATAGGGTTTCCCATTAACAATTGCATAACTCAATAACTGTGCAACTTAAACCCTCCATTATGGTTCCATGGGAATCATACTGTGATATTCAAAACATCTCTCAGCCAGTACGTAGACTATAACTTTTGCTTTATTTTACCTTTCAAGGAAAATAGTGGAATTAGTGAGCAACTCCCAACTGTTCCATGCTTGAAATGCAAAATGGAAATTAGGATTGATGAAGAATCCATGCTTACTCATCAACGCCTGCACGCTGAGGAAGAACAACAACAAAAGTGCAAGTATAGTGTTCTTTCTTTTCTATGCATGTATACTGCTGCATTGCACCTTTACTTTAAAACCCAATATTTTACTATTTATTAAATCCACTTTTTGCTTGTGGCTTAGGGCTAGTGAAACTAGCAATATTGAAAAGAATCCTATTGTCATTGAGGATGTATCAGAATTATTAGAAGACAAACTGGAACCTAATGATACTTTGTCACGTGAGTTGAAGTTTTTTTAGATTTTTACTTAATGTTATATTATTATTATAATATTTAATGATAATCAAATTCATGATAATAAGCTACTGCAAATGTTTATTTTAATAGAAGAGATAAAACACGGATTAATTGCAGAATACCCCGCCACAAGAAGCTACGTGGTGAACTGGCTACGCAGTCACCTGGCCACGCAGTCATCTGGCTACGCAGTCACCTGGCCACGCAGTGAAGTGGCTACGCAGTCAACTGGCTACGTAGTTATCTGGCTACGCAGTGAACTGGCTACGCAGTGAAGTGGATACGCAGTGAACTGGCTACGCAGTGAAGTGGCTACGCAGTGAACTGGCTACGTAGTCATCTGGCTACGCAGTCCACTGGCTACGTGCATTTAAACTTTTTCAGTTAAGGGAACAATACTTGCTTTATTGTACAGTTGAAATATATTCAAGCATATCCACTGTACGCGAAGTGTGTTTTTTAAACAACGAAGCAATGACAATTTAAAGGCAACTATAGGCAAGCATAGATTTGTATTTCTAACCGAACACTGTATAGACATGCGAAGTGTGTTTTTAAAGAACGAAGCAATGACAATTTAAAGGTAATTTGGCAAGCATAGTTAAGGGAACAATACTTGCTTTATTATACAGTTGAAATATATTCAAGCATATGCATGTAACTAATAAATGTTGACCGTATATAAATGTATCAAAAATAGCAATGTATATTTAGAATGTTTGTTTGTATTAGGTATTAAAGTTTCAAACTTTATAAATCTTAGCAATGTCTTGCAAGAATGTGTTAAATAAGTTCTCCCCTCTATGAGTATAACGCCATACAAACTCTGCCAAGTAAGATGAGTAATGATGCTTCCTTCGTCCATGGGTCGGAAGAGCAACTTTCATTTGCCGCCAGTGGCCTTCAATTCTGTTTGTATGATCGCCATCGTCATTCACAAACTCTTTCGAGTGATTGACTGTTGCGTGGACGTAGCCATGTTTTTCTAAGTTTATATAAGCCTTCCAGCAATCAGAGACGATTTTCGTGCCAGGAAGAATCCACTTCTTGATTAATGGCAGAAGTGTGGCTTCATCTCTCTTCTCAACCGCAAATATGAACGATTTTCTGGATTCGTTTTCAATCCCTCCGAATACCCATTGGCCTTCGACCCTGTGACCTTTGTGATACTTACGTTTACCGATTTTAGACTCGTCGATTTGAACGACCTTTCCCGGGCCACCTATCGGAAGAGATTCTTGTAGCATGACAACTTCGCAAACTTCCCGACAGAACATGTCCCAGTCAACTCCTGAATTTGATGCGAAGCCAAGTTGTTGAACGATTTGCGACTGAGTAAGATCGACTGTCCACCAGTATGTAAACTTTATTATTTCTTCAACGGTAAAGTTGCTTTTTTCAAACCAACTTCCTTTCCTTATGCTCACTTCCACTCGATGTCGTTTACCATTTGTTGTTTTGCGGCAAAGCCATTTATAGCCATCCTTTCGATCTGTTGTTTCAGTCCAGGTCATGACGGAGTCACATTGTGGACAAAGCTGTTCGGCGGCTATTAACTGGCGGTCTTTAAGCCATTGGAATAGAAAATCTTTTGAGGAAAAAATCGATTCTTTCAGGTCGTCGTACGTAGTGAAAGGACTCTGTTGTAGTCGCTGTTTTCGTGAATAGGATATACCTTCCGATGAAGTTTGACTGGCAACCTCTATGTTGGAAAAACTGGAGGAATGTGTTTGAACCGCAACGGATTTTCTCAATTTAACTCGATACATGGTTTCTACGTTTCTTTGTGGAGATTTTGAAATGTTGCGCATAGATGTCAAAAACTTTTGTGCGACTTTGAGCGAAAGATGACATGACAGCATACATAATAGTGTTAGATTACCGTGGCCGAGTGTGACATGAATATATTAAGGAATTGACGTATTTATATATGTGATATGATAGGTGAAAAAATTTTATTTTGGCAAGCTGAGGTTGTGTGTGCAGAAGTATCGGATTTGTTGAAAGAAAATGGCTCTATTGAAATTGTCTAAACAACAGGATAAGACATGGGCTCAGCTTCATCGCCGACTAATAGAAATGCCATTCAGTTACGGGAATATGTTTGGAGAACGCACATGGAACTTGATTAACAGTAAAGCGTTGTCGATGAGTTGTGCGCCAGGTTATCTTGTGCCTTGTTTACTAACCGCAACGGGGTTTACACTTGGTTTAGAGAAGGTTTTGCTAAACAACGGTTGTCAAACCATGCCTTTAAATGTGTATATCATATTTAGTGGGGCACCTACAACTGGCAAATCTCAGGCATTGAAAGAAGGAGCGCTGAAACCGTTGGTTGCCGTGCAAGACGCGATTGATGACGGTCACTTCATAATTGAAAAAACTACGTCGTCTGGTTTGGTGAAAGCCGTGTCGACTGTTGGTAGTGGTGTTATCGTATCGCCAGAAGTATTTGATATAATGAACAAACTATTAAAGTGTGACGAAGAGAACGCAAGTGGAGACGTGCAAGTGCTGTGCGAGCTTTTCTCTGGGAAAGGTGTTCCTATCGATTCGCGACAGAAAAAGTACGCGAAATTGGGGAGAACACTGCATTTTCAATAATCGGGGCCACGCAACTTCCAAACGCGACAAAGCTAATTTGTAGAATGGATCATGGTCACGGTCTGCTCGATAGATTTATTTTTTGTTTCCAACTTGTTTAAGACCAAGTCCAGATGAAAGCGCCGAGGCGAAAGAAAGGCTGGATAGTTTAAGTGTCGACGGCTTTGAGGAAGTTTTCGTGGAAATGCAAAATGCGCATAATGGTGGCAATGGACCTATACGTTATGTGAAGGTGCAATGGACGCATTAAAATCGATGAACAAAGCATTCATTGAGGAGCTTAACGAAGCTCTATTGGCTGGAGACGTCCCGCCAAAATCGAAGAAAGTGGATTTGGTGCAACGGGTAGCTGTAGGACTTCATGTATTTAACCACACGGCCGAGGCAATCCTTGAAGGAAAGAAGCCAAGTCTTCCTCCGAATGAAGTGAGTTTAGAGAGCTTCGAGGCGGCACTGTTGTATGTTGAATATGCGGAAAATCAAAAATCCGTGGTAATTGATTTCGTGAGAGAAATTGGGTCGTCAACAAAGGTTTGTTACATAGTTAAGAGTGTAAATGAGTTGTAAATGGAAAGCGTTTTTATTAAACCATTCATTGTTTTTATTATTGTTAAGGATGCGCTAAAACCACAGTTGACGATGATGAGTGTGAAGAACGCAGTTGTCTTATTCGGCGGGCCAGTGGTAACTCTAAGAAGTTTAAAACAAAGTGGTCCGAGAAATGTGCGAAACGTATCTAGTGGTGAATTCGTGGGAGCAGTATCCGAGTTGGAGTTCTTTGGCAAAATGGTAAAGGTTCGTGTTCCACGTACTGCGCGACAAGTGGAAGTTTTTTTAAAGAAGGCAGTAAGTGATATAGATTGGTCGAAAGAAGGGTTGATGTGCAGTCGAGAGGAATATGAGAAGAGATTGACGATGCCTTCACCATCATCAATAACATTGAATATTAAGTCAGCTCTGGAGCGCGAAGGACATGTGCCGGAAGGATATTTTAATTAAAGGCATTATAGTATGGGTCATTAATAGCGTTAAGTTTCTAGCCTATACTGCCGGCTATAGCGCATGCAGTGTAACTGAAGTAAAAATCTGTCATTAAATATTCTTGGTAACTGTTGTGATCAAAAAAGAATTATAGCATCATTAAATATTCTTGGTCATTGTTGTGATCAAAAAAAGTATTATAGCATCATTAATCATTATTCAATAATTTCTGTCATGCCCTGAGCCTGTCTATAAACAGCGAAATTAATTTAAAAAAACTAACCCATTATGAGCAGGCATAACTTTGGCAAAATATAGTTCGTCATGATTAATCCGGCGTAGCAAGTTGACTGCGTAGTAATTTGACCGCGTAGCCATTTTAAGCGCTTTTTTTCTGACTACGTAGCCGGCTACACAGTAGAAATATATGTGGCAGGGTATTCTGCAATTATACCTAAAACACCTAAGAGAAATGTTTCCTGATGTAGAAGAGCAAAAACTTTTGGAAACCCTGAGAACTCATGAATACTCCTCTGAAGATGCTATTACTGACCTTTTGGGGACAGGGAATAAAGGTCAGTTGATTGCCTTGGCATGCTTAAGTTTGCGGAAACATTTATAGCCACATTCACTTCACTGTTCACCTGGCAAAATGTAGTTGTGAACCTATGAAAAAACTTATTGTGAAATAAACTTTGCATTCTGATCAATTAATGGTCAAGTCTGTCATATTGCACTATATTCATATAAGTAAAAACCATGGAATATTTTCCACTGTCAAATTTCAAAAGAAATTTGGTGCTATTCTACTATTTCTATTTTTCCATTTGTAGCCTCTAAATTATTTAGTCTCCTTAGTTTCATCTTATGGAATGTTTAAAGAATAATGAACTTGTCCTTGTTTATTCCAGTTGTTAACTACTTGTATTTAGCTACTGAAAAAAGGAAGCAGAACTTTTATTCTAGTTTATTTTTTCATTAGAAATGACAATTAACGAGGAGTTGTTGATGTATACAAAGGGAGTTGATAGAGAGAATGTAAAGATTTTGATTGTCGATAGGACGTGTTTGTGGCAAAGATCGCTTGTTTTTTACAAGAGCACTCCTCGTGAGGATCTATATCGTCTTTTATGTATCTCATTTGAGGGACATGAAGAAGCAGTAGATGCAGGTGGCTTAAGGGTCGAGTTCTTTGGTGATTTGATTCGCAACATAGATAACCTTCTTTTTGAAGGAAAACGTGGCAACCGCATCCCCAAACACAGCTGGGACAAGATCCACCTGTTACAAATGGCAGGCTTGATTGTTGCTCATTCAATACTCCAGGATGGTCCTGGTATGCCAACACTATCCAAGTATGTATATGAATTTATTGTTAGCAACGATAAAGAAAAGTGTGTTGCTGCTATAACATATGATGATCTTCCTGATATCCCTCAAAATGCGGATTTGATAGAATTTATTCGGAAGGTAAGTTTGAGGTTAAGGAAGCCATTGCTTTGTTTGGCTAGTAAACATGCATCCACTATATTTTTACTTAAGAATAAGTAGATAGAGCACTAACTGCCAAATAGAGCACTAACTGCCAAATTGACGACATGATATCAATGATATGCTCATTTGATACAGCCACATGCAACCTCATTTTGCAGACAAATGTATACTTTTGCTGACTGCCAAGATATAGCTTGTGCAGTGCCCGCTATTCTTGCATACTATATGATGGTCAAATGACTGCCTTTTTGTTAAGATTGAAGATTGCAAGAATGATGATGATATCTCCGCCCTATATGATGAAGCAAAGTTTTGTTCTATTATTGATCGTTCAGGATGGCCGGTGGAATCTGTGATAAACATGAAATGCCGATTTGATTTTGTCAGTTGTATTCTCATAGAAGAGCTGTACGATAAACGCCTGCGGTGTCTTCAAAGTTTTAGGGAAGGTCTCAATCATTTCGGATTGCTGAGATTTCTTCAAACGAATCCTGAAGGCTGGAAACCCTTTTTCGTGAAGGAAGACAGAAATCAACGTATACCAGCACAGAAATTCCTATCTTTGCTCACATCGAAACCAAAAACTAACGAAGAAAATAGGGCATACACTCACTTTGTTCAATTTGTGAATGAGTCTGAGAATCTGTCAGGTAAAAAGATTAACGAAACAAAATGTTTTGTCTCTGATTTAGAGACTATACGGGGCTAAGAGATTACTGAAATTAAAATCATCTGGTGTTAAAGTAAATTTATGTACAGACTGTACAGTGGCAGAGACCTGACATATAGATATTGTTTGTCTCTGTACTGATAAATTTTTACCAGTCTTTAAATATAAAAGTCCTCCTTCCCTGATTCTGCCACTGATCGTCTAGAGTAAATTGCTAGAAAGATTTTGGAGTGATACTTTCAATTTCCGTTCAAGTACAGTATACATCCTTTCTCATTTTAGAATGCATCCCTGTCCTTGGTGGTGACATCCCTGTTCTTAATCTTCTCCTAAAATTTTGCACATCAAATCTTGAAATACCTCCACTCGGTTTAAAATCATGTATAATGGTACTGTATGGCAACAATGATCTCACTATGGTGGATGGTGATAGTTGTTTCAACCACTTAAAACTCCCAGTAATTTATGAAGATTATGAAAAGTTCCAGAAGGTCATGATGGCAAGTTTGCGTCATGGGTCATGCTCATTTGCAGCTTCAAGGTAGTTTTAGGATGTTTATGAAAGGATCTGGAAAATTCTATCTGTGCCTTTCTACTGAAATTGACATTGTTTGTACATTGATCTAACTATTTCTTGAGTTTTTTTTTGAACGGATAAAACTTTTTTACAGTATATATTAAAAGGTTAAAAAAGTACTGTAGGAATCAGAAAAACTAAAAAAATTCTACAGTTACTACAGTACAGTTACATATGTTTTTTAGCTGTAAAAGCCTGTTCATCATTGTATATGCAGTAGACATAACAGATTTATTCATGTTTAAAGTTCACAATACAGGATTTGTTGACGTATTTGAAACCCTGAAAATGTAAATTAACCTACATGTAAAATACCATTGCTACTGTATTTTACTATTGGTACTATATTGTTTTTCTGATGCTATTATGCATAGAACAGTCAGTAACACATTGATATTTCCTTAATATTTTCTATATCACGATAGACAATCTGCAACATTTGGAAGCTCATTGTGCAACACTACATATAGCACCAAAAAACTGAATTATTTGAACTAAATAAATTGAATAGACATCTTCGAGCTTTCATGGTTCCTTTAAATGCGTCAATAAATATTGCTGTGCCATTTCCATTTTTAAAAGTAATATGGATTAATGTTGTTCAACATTCAATTTGAGTTAAATAGATGTAAAAAAACATTATAATTTGTCTTGTACATACTGCTTGCATTCCACATAAATATCTGTTCCAAACGTAACACTTTGACGAAGGGGATCAATTGCATTCTTCATGTTTC